TTTTTACAACTTGTCTATAAATTGAAATCTGTTCTAAAAAACTTTTACAAAAGGAGATATAGGGCTGGTGAGTGGCTCAAGTGGTAGAGTGCTTGCCTAGCAAGCGTGAAGCCCTGAGTTCAAACCTCAAAACCACCAATAAACAAATAAGTAAATAAATAAAAATTAAAAAGAAGATACAGAACTCAAAGTGTGTCACATTTATAGTGAGGTGAAAAATGCTGAAATGAATTTATGACTGGATGTAAAACTAGCAAAACCAGTCACTATCTGCAGGGTAATAGTCAGTTGCATTCCACTGCAGATACTTTTAAGGTTTTACAGATTGATAGGAATAATTGAAGACAGACTCTAACTTCTATCTCTACAGAGTTGTAAGACAATCTGGTCAAAGGCAAAAAAATTCTGTATAGTCCTATAAGAACAAATACTACCCAAGGGCTCAGCATTGCATTAAAAGGACATCCAGAAATCTCTTTTGCCCAATTTACAATCTTTCATAATTTTTTTCTAAAAAGGATACAGGTGCCAAAATTATAAAACAGGCTAGCCTGACTTAGAAAAGGGCTAACAAACATGTACAAATGTTCAAAAGGTTTTGGAATGTTTTTCTAAGTTATCACAACACTATAAACTTTGAAAGATAAGCCAAAGATGAAGATAATTTATCAGCCTACCCTGGGGAAACCCTACAGACTGCCAAAGAGATACATCATCGTCTTGCAATTAAAAGCACTTGCTGTATTATGTTACCTAGGCAACACACTAGCAAATAGATGTGGTAATAAAAGAAGAATTTAAAAAGCAAAATAAACAAAAGGACAGTCAGTGTCAAGTCTTTCCCCTACCTTATTTTACAAATTATTCATGTGAAAGACAGACTCAGATACTAATTGGGAATTATTATTTTCCTAGACCTCACATTTCCACATGGAGGGCTTTAACTGGACTAACAATCCTGGCCTGTCTCTGCCTTTGGTAAGAAGTGACTCCATGACAAACTACATAGCTGTGGTTTGGGCCATTTACCCTTCCTTAGACTTTTAAATCTTATTTAAATCTGTTTGTTTCAGGCTGGGGGTGTGGTTCAGTGGTAGAGTGGTAGAGCACTTGCCTATCCTGCCAAAAGTCCTGGGTTTGATCCCAGCACTGAAAATAATGAAAGACAGAGAGAGAGAGAGAGGAGAAGAAAGGAAGAAAGGAAGGAAGGAAGGAGAGAGAGAGAGAGAGAGAATATGTTTATTTCCTCTTAATGCATATGCAAGTGTCTAGAAGTCAGAATTCACACAGGTCTTTCATATCTCAGTTTCAGATGCCCTAGTAAAAGATCATCTTTTGGTGATTTAATTGGGCATCCCCCCCAAAATGAAATTTGCATATTTCTATGGGAAGACCACAGGGGTTCTAACAAGTGTCTTTCCTCCAACTACAGCTCTTGCTAGTTCTTGAAGAAAACTATTCCTTTCTCTTACCCCTTCAGAATGGGAACTGCTTCCTGTTGTTGCTAGTCCTGGATCCTTCACTATCCTCCATTGGGTTACCTTAAACTTTCACATACTTGATACTTGATTAATGGTGCTGTTATTCAATTCTCTTCAGCTACCCCTTTAGAGTATAGCATCTGTTCCTATCAACACAGCTGCTTTGACGTTTTTCCAAGCCAAAACTATTTCTGCCATTATATAGAATTTCAGGAGCCTAATTTTTCATTTATGTGTTATAATGGACATAGAACTGCTCCTTCAGAAATTCCTTTTTTTCCCCTCCTTCAGAAATTCTTGACTCTACTTTATATATGTGTGGAACCAGCATGGATAACCACCCAAATCAATGTCCTAATTTGGCCTTTCATTTTTTGATAAAAAAAAGTCTAACTTCACCATTTGCTCTTTTGATCTCTAAATTATAGTGTCTTAAGTCAATAATACAGAATACCATGCAGTCCCTTGACAGGACCTAAACCTTGAATTATCCCATAGTTCAATACCTCTCAAAAGTCCAGGCAAGAAAATTGATTAGGATTGAGCGAGGTATACAAAGGTCATACACTAATCTTTAGAAGATCAGTATGTTGGAACTGTATTCTCCCTGAGGACTTGTTTTCATTTTGGGGTTGCATTAGTGGATTCTTATTTTATCAAAGAAAATTTAAGAAATTGCCTTAGAAAACCTGAAACAATATTTGCTACAGGGACATGGTATACTAGATTTCTTACTGTTCCTTGAGGGTTGGTACTTGGGATCATATTTAAGTGTCCCCCATAAAAATTCAGTTTTTCTGACCTCTTTGTTCTGACTCTTCACTCACCAAGAAACACCCTTATTTCTGCATTATTCTGCTGACTTAGAATATACTGTCCATAAAGATGTTGAGTATTTCTCATAGCAAATTAATAGACTTCTGAGTAGGATCAAGTATCCTGTGTTTAACCTCAGAGGGAAATGTGCCAATCATACCTTGTGTGAGCCTATTCACTGCTTATCATGGCAGTATTTCTTATTATACATGAATAAGTTAGAATTCTGGTTCTACACCAATTTCCTGTGCATTTTATTAATGTGAATCAGGTTCTCAGAACCTAACTAAAAATCTCTGGGTTTTGAAGTGGGAGGTTAGATTCCAGCCAACCTCCCATAAGATAAAATATCTACCCCTTCCGGTTGCACTTCTACTTATTAGCATAACCCTATGTAAAGTCTCAGGTAAAAAACTGAAAAAATTTTAGGAAAAGCTCTGCTTATCTGGAACACTAGGAAGCAAATTCTATTTCCCTTCCATATCTTTTCCTCTTTACAATCAGGAATCTTAATGTCAACTATAAAGGATCGTTTGGAAGTGGTTTTCAAGCATCTCATTTGTGAAATACTTCTGAATGCTTGAAGTTGGGACAAACAACTTGGATGAATTAAACAGCTTAAAACAACCCTAAATCAATCATTATATCATCTCAGGGTCTATATTTCCTCCACAATTAGTCCACTATCCACATGGTCCACTTTTGATATTGTAGCTTTGGGGGAATTTTTCCTGCCCAGAAAGTTATTTCTTCCATATTCACAAGGCAAAACTCTCTTATACTCCCGTGAATCACCATCTTCTAATGCCAACTTAATGCTATGCTTTGTCTTTACCGATAACCTGAAACAAACTGTACAATCTGTTTCATCACGTTATATGTGATGAACATGAAAATTAATGTTAACATCTTTGAAGACTTTGCTACATATTGTATTAGCACTCCAGTCAAGAACAATCTGCATGTTTTCATTTCCCCCTTTGTGACTTACTGAAATATTCTATTTTATTTATTCCTATTTATTTTTACTCACATTTTACTATCTTACTGCATGTGCTCCTATTTTCTTAAATTCTTTGTGGAGTAAGGGTAGGTTTCATGAAATAAAAGAAACGCTCTTTGGTGACTACTCTTTACTGCCCTCTGCAGATAGAAAGAATGAGTGAGACAAACCTAATGACATTACCTACAGTTGTGTCTAATGGTAGATTCTTATTCAATAGAAAATCTTAAAGCAACTGACAGTTTTTGAGAAGCTAACCACTACCAAACCATTATTCACAAAAAAGGGCCTCCAAATTTATTGAAGCCACCTCACTGTGGAAGATCTCTGGGAACCACATACCATATTTTCAATAGATCTCCCTATCTCCTGCACCAGAATACACAAAAGTCCTCCCTTAGCGTGGATCATGGCTAGGGTCTCTATTTCAAAGTTCCTACCAGACTTGTAAAATTTGGAGCTGGATGATAGAGAGAATTCAGACTCAATAGTTATAATCATAAAAACGTGCAAGCATTAAGCAATTCAGTGTAAGTGCTGTGCAGATGAGTGTTAGCAAATGTTGGAACCCATTTAATGCATCAATCAGAGATAATGTAAGATTTTTCTTTCTCTTTTTACTAAAGTGTAAGGCAGGCTGCAAGATAACCAGTAAACAAGCAGCTTCAATTTTGGGTACAAAGAACTACTGATTACGCATGGATTGTTTTCTTTAGTCACACTATTTTGTATGGATAGCAACACTGTCGGTGATGTCATCTTCTAAAACAACAAACTCGAATGTATAGGCATATTGTGCCAACTGAGCTCAAATCAATGACCTGGGTAATGCAATCAGGGTAACACTATTATTCCTCATCTTAACTCTCCAAGCCTGTAGAAAATAAATGCTAATCCAATGCACGCTCAAGGAATGCCTTGAATGTGTTGTGTGGGAAAGGAAATCAAATCCTTATATTCTTTTATTTACATTCTAACATGCACTTTAAGAAACACATCCCACAATTTAATATCATTGTGTGCATCATAATATGTTGTGTTAGGTTTGCACTATTAGCAGGTTAAATACCTTCTTAACATTCACACTTTCTTACCTACAAATATGCTCATCTAGGATATTTTCTAAAGAATGATCTCCAAATGTGTATTCACTGGATGATACACATGTCAATACCTTTCCAATCCAATGTCTATCATTGGATTGACACACATATCAATACCTTTCCGCATCTGCGAAATCAGAATGATTTGTAGCATACCTGATAGAGGAGGCAACGCTGTTTTATTGATTGGACAAGAAATTTTTTGAAAGATTTATAATTTTTAGTTCCATCTCTGTTTGAGATTCAATTAATCCTAGTTTTTATCTTCATAAGGAGCATAATATGGATTTAAATCAAGCAGACTTAAATTTTTTCAACATCTGGAAACCTAAGCTTTCTGAGGCAAAAAATATTTCTTTAAAAGATATACAGGAGGGCTGAGGATGTAGCTCAGGTGGTAGAGCACCTGCCTAGCATGAGCAAAAAAGAGAAAGAAGGAGACGAAAGGAAGGAAGGAAAGAAGGGAGGGAGGAAGGGAGGAAAAGAAAGGAAGGAAGAGAGAGAGAGAGAGAGAAAAGGCATACAGGAAAGAGATCCAATGAGCATTCGCAATCGTTTAAAAGAATACAAAGAGGGCTTCTGCAGACATGAGCAGGTTCGACCGAGGGACTGAGAACTGCATTTCAGCCTCTGAAGACCGGACATCCGGGACTCTCCAGAGCCAGGGAGCGGCCCGATCCTCCTAGGGGCGGGGCCACGGGCGTTCGGGGCGGGGCCGGCTCCTGGCCACGCCCCCTCATCCGGCCCACGCTCGCGGGGGCAGAGCTTGCTTAGCGCGGGGCGCGAACCTGTCTTCCGCGGAGGCGGCTGCAGCGATGGCTGATGGCTGCCGCAATCCTCAGGCTCGGGCGCTCCTGCAGCAGTGCCTGCATGCTCAACTGCAAGTTCGCCCAGCCGAGGGGGACGCCGCGGCTCAGTGGGTGGAGGTAACGTCTTCTGGGCAGCTCTCCCTATCCTTTCCGAGCCGTCTCGATGACTCGGCCCCTCGTTTCTTTCCAACGAGCAGGCCGACCCCTTGGTGCTCCGGCCGGTTCTCCTTGGCTGTGCTTCTCTTGCACCGCTGTTCCCCGCCCCAGGCGTGCCCCGGAGGAAGAACGTGCGTCCCCGCCGGGGGACCCCTCTGTCCGTCTGTGAACCCCTCTGTCCGTCTGTGAACCCCTCTCACCGTCTGCGCGCCCGAGCCCGTGCACTTTAGGCCTCTGTGTTGAACACGACCTGCTGCTCCTGGCCCGGGCTGGACTGGGTCAAGTTCAAGTAGCTTTGTTGCCAGAGTTCAAGATCTGCTTTCACTTGTGCCCCAGCTTATATTGAGTCTGTCTTGGTCTTGGCATAGAAATGGGATTTCCCAAGAAACAATTTTATTTCAAGACTTTTTTTTTTTTTTTTCCTGCTGTACCAGATAAAGCCAAGGCCTCATGGATGCTGGACAAGCATTCTACCACTGAGCTACAGTATCCAGCCCAAGAAACATTTCTTAAAATTTAACAACTAAGATACAAAGACTACTACTTTTGTAATAATTTTGCATTTTTGTTTTGTTTTTGAGACAAGATCTATGTAGCCAGGCTGGCCTCAAACTCATGCCTCTGCTTCTCAGGTGCTGAATTCCAGGCATGCATTGGGCCTCCCATGTAATGTAATCATTTTACATTGTTATCGAGCGCATGTATTCCAAATAACTTAAAACCTTTACCTCAATATGAGTTCCTTGTACTTGCATAGTTAGCGCTTTTTTTTTTTGGCGATACTGGGCTTGAAACTCAGAATCTACACCTGAGGCACTCCACCAACCCTTTTTTTGTGAAGGGTTTTTTCGAGATAGGGTCTTGAGAACCATTTGCACAGGCTGTGTTCGAACCATCATCCAACTGATCACTGCCTCCTGAATAGCTGGGATTACAGGCATGAGCCACTAGTGCCCAGGTCATGCTTACCTTTTTAAGGCAGCCTGTTGAGTGCAAAAGCAAATAAAATGTTAAGCCAAGTCCTCGATGTATTTTTGCAGTAAGAAAAAAAGTTCATAGTTAAAACCTTTGGAGGTACTCAGAATCTTTAAAGTAGAAGAATCTCATTCACTCATCTCTGCTAAATGGGGTCCCAGATCAATTATTCCTTAATACAATCCTCGTCGTTATTTTAACCATTACCCATGAAGAATGACATGTGAGCGATTTTTCCTAGATCAGAATCTGTAACACTGTATGAACTTGAAAATAATTTATACGTATCAAAAATTTCTGTATTCCCACCTCTCCCCTTTTCTCAAATTGTTTATTTTTGTTGACCTTTTATTGATATCTTGATTTGTCTTCTACATTTGAAATTTTGTTCCTTTGTATGTGTTATTTTTAAAGAATAGCCTACTTTGATTGTGGCCTTCTGACACTATAAATTCCAGATGTAATCATTCAGAGTCCTTCCATGCTTCTTTATCTTTTTTGTTTTTCATGCCATATTTTCTTTTGCAAAATCACAGGTACTTATTGCAGCCCAGCAAACTATCAGTTTATAAACTTTAAAAGCTAGTTTTAAAGGCTTTTCCCTCCCTCCCACACATAACTAGATTAAAGAGTTGACAAGTAATAACATGGTGAGAAGAGTATAAATACCTCTTTCTCACCATCCTCTGCTCTGTTCTGTTATCACAGTTCTTTTTTTAACAGCATTTTAATTGTTGAAAGTTGCTTTGCTTGTTCTTAGTTTCCTTCATTTAGAACTTTGCCATCACAGACTAATGTTTTTCTTTGTGTGAGAATTATCTGTACTTTTCTGTGTATTTGAAATGTTTTATACCAAAGAAACTACAAGAAAAGTAATTTTGACTTGAGAGGAATCTGTAGCTCCTAACTTAAGGTCTATTATTGGGATAAACAAAAAGAAAATAATACTGAGGGAGTAATGTACTAAATAATTCTGACATTGCAAGTGTCCCACTGTGAATATGCTGAAGATTTGGGCCAGTGCTAAAAATGATACAGTTTTTAAGAAGAACTCCTTTTTCCAGATAAATCAAGTGTGAGTGCAGAGCTATCTTTACACAGAAAACCATTTAGATAACACAGAACCTGGAAGATACAGATGAATGTTAATGTAATTAACAAATAAATTGAGTCCCTATTATATGTAAAACATGTGAAGTGCTTTAGAAGTTAAAATGTGCTTCTGCCTTTAAATTGTTTTGTATATGTAGCACTTACCATGAACCCAGCCCTGTTTTAAGCACTTTACAGTCACTAACTCCTTCAGTGTTTGTAGTATCTCCTGGAGTCAGTGAGGCTTCCTGGAGTCAATGAGGCTGAAAATACAGAATCACAAGTTGAATGATTGACTCAGAAGCACAATCAGTCATTTATCAAATGTCTCTTTTCCTATAATCTGTCTTATAAGAGACAGTAAAGAAATATCCAAGTCATTATGTGGAATAAATAAGTTTACATTCCCGACAACAACCAGTCTTGTCATGTAGAACTTATTATCATAAATGTAATTTTCAAGGTCCAATCATTGTGTTTATTTAAAGCATTAACAACAATAACCAAAAATAATTGAACAGTTTCCTGGAGTTAATAGAAATAGAATCAGACCCTTTGTTTTACTCCATGTAAGAAAGGCATTAAGAGTGATGATGTCAAAAGATACAACCATACTGTTGCTTATTTATCAGTCCTGCCTGGTATAATGTGAATTCATTTGTAACTGAATAAATGGGCCTTACAAACTAAATGTTTCTAAGTCTGTCAACATTACTTGGTAGAGAGGAGACGATTGAAAATTCTGTTGATTTTGAGTAAACATTTGAAAGCATAACATGATTTTCACTGCTCTTAGATACAGTTTAAATTCAGTTTTTTAAAGAAATAATTGTGATGAAACTTGAAAAAGATTGTTTTTTCTCATTTATTTAGAAATCAAAAATGAATCTTATTTTTCTTCCTTTGCTTTTAACCTCTATGTTTGTAAAATGTTATTGTGAATGTTTACTCATTCAGCTGTGTATCTCTGTGTAGACTTCTTCCTAATCTGAGTTTGTTCTGATGATTTCTCATAGGTTCAGAGAGGACTAGTGATTTATGTGTGCTTCTTCAAGGGAGCTGATAAAGAACTTCTTCCGAAAATGGGTATGTGTGTGATGTTTTCTCTTAAGAGTGAGAAAGAGGGCAGGCAGAGTGGCTCAAGTGGTATAGTGCCTGCCTAGCAAGTAGAAGGTCCTGAGTTCATACCCCAGTCGTGCCAACAAAATTTTACAAAAAAAAGGAAAAAGAGTGAAAAAGAATAGCAATAGACAAATGAACAAGAAGGTACAAGAAACACATCTTGTTTTGTCTTTTTTTTGAGGTGTTGGGGATGGGACCCAGAACCTTGTGCATGGTAAGGAAAGCACTCTACCACTGAGCCAAGAAGTATAATCTTAAATTGTCCAGATATATAAGTTATTAACTACCTAATTCTATCTCGTATTGGCTTTAGCTATTTTTCTGTTGCAAAATTTAAAGTATGTATGTGTGGTAGAATTCTATTGAAACATCTGCAGCATTTCAGGTGGGTTATAGATTGATTTAGAAGAGTATACATGCAACATAGTTCAGCCAAGATTGCAGAAAGTTGTTGGAAGCAGAATGGCCACATGGGGAGAAAAGATGTTGCTTTTCTCAATATAGGTTCTTTATTCTCCAGATAAGAGAGTCTCTCAGAGGAGCAAGATGACATTGTATGTACAAGGAAGTCCCATCAAATCCAGAAGGCTCAGCCTTACATCATTGTTTTAAAAGAATTTACATTAACCATTTATGTACATCTTTGTAGGAAATATGTACAAAGAGAATTCTCCTGGTTCTTGAACCAAACTCAGTGTTATAATAGCCACACTTCTTCTGGGGCATAGAAAGCAAAGTAAATGTTTGGGGATCACTGAACAGTGATTTACTTATTTGCAGCTTTCTAGTATCCTTGAAAATCCATAGCACTATACATTCCTTATGATAATCAGATAAGTTCAGATAGACCAAATCAAATCATGCTGTCTCAAATCGTATTTGGTCCAGAAAAAAAAAACAAACTGAAATAATGGAGCTATACCTAAGATTGGAGACACTTTATATCCTCATTAGCAAAGAAGTATATGAAGCCCTGAGTTCAAATCCCATAACATCCTCCCCCCACACACAAAAAAAGAACCTTTGAAGGGTTTAAGAAGAAAATGAAATAAGGACTCTTATTATAGTAGAAGATAATTTGTGAGGTCCTAATGATACTGGATTTCTTGATCCTGAGTTCATGTCCTGGTATTGTCAATGACTAAAGATGCTGGACCAGGAGTTAGAGTAAGCAAGCACAAAGTTTATTGAAAGGATAGCAAGGCACCCTGACAGGTGGGACTTAGTGAAAGATCTAAACCAAAGAAGAGCTGAAGTCTAGGAGATAATAGAGGGCACTAACTGACTTAGGTCCAGGTATCCTACCTTGAAACTATATTTGCGATTGTTTGGCACATTGAGTCAGGTTGCTGAACTCAACCACCTGTTGCTCCCTCTCCTTATCAAATTGAGCATTCCAAGAAAGTCTTGTCAGTTCTTCTTGGCCTTGGAAGTCTGCCCAACTCATCCTGGCCTTGGAACCCACTACCCACATTGTGCAGCTGCATTTTGTTAATTTGGTAAAGAATTTGTTATTTCTCTCAGAAGCCTGTTGTTACAGACTTAAGTAACTCTAAATCAAAATAGGATACACTCACTAAAGCCAAGCTGTATTTTGTTTTACAGTGATTAAATCCTAATGTGTTTCCATTAGTATGAGTTCACTCTAAATAGATGTATAAAATTGTGGTAAATTAAAGACACTGAGGATGTCTACCTTAAGTCTTTTAGAGGATAGTCTGACACAAAACTTTATATGTCATGTTTCTATGCAGAGGACTGTATGACTCTGAGAATCACATTCTGCCGCTTTGAGCTACAAGCAAATAAATGCATCCGTTACTGATAGCTTAGTTTTTACTTTCCTCTATTCCAGAAGGGAAAGTAAGCCAATGTGATGGCCTTCTCTTACTTATTATATGGATTCAGATCTTTTTAATCAAGTCTTACCTCCCTTGGGAACATAAGCAGTTATGTCGATACAAAGTCAGAAATAGCATAGCTAACAGAGATGTGTAGAATCTTCTTCAATTCATCTTTAGTATCATTGGACTAAGATCCAGGGATCTAGCATAGCTTAACTTCCTGTCTACATCATTGGAGATATTTGATTGATAACCTATCTTAGAATCTTTGAGTTTCCAACATGCCATTAATTCATTGTTTCATCTTAATTCTACATATATTTGCATTTGTATTGTATTCATTTCTACTAAATACTGATACTTCTATACCAACAGCATTTTGAGTTCTCAGTTCTAGCCAGTAGAGGGAAGTATGTGAAAGTGTAATCAAACATATTACCTCTCATTACCTCTCATTGCCTGTTAATCCAGAATTGCCTGCTTAGTCTGAATAGGTAGATAGTGATTTCCATTGAAATGTAGTGCTGTGAAGAATCAGCTTCCATAGAAGCAGTTGATAAAAATTGCTGGCTATGTAGCAAAACCTTATTTGAAATATAGAAAATTACAGAACTGTTTAAATGTAGATGTTAGTTAAGTGAAAAATTGATGGTGCTTTTTACCAAGTTAATTCCATGATTTGGGTAGCCAAACTAAATCCTTAGTAATATTTACTATGGATCCTTTAATATTGAAACCATTGACTACCCAACCAGCAAGCAAACCTTTTAAGGCCGATTCAATGGCAGGAGTGAGAGGTTTATAAAGTTTCTTTACTGTCTCCTCTTAGGACTGTACTTTGCAAGCAGAATTCATTTATACCTTTATAGAGGTAGGGAGACACTAAGTCTTGTTTATTTAACATAAACAGTTTTTTGTTTACTGTTATGAAAATGGTTAATGTTGAGGTAAAAAGGCTTTTTAAATTTAGGTTTTTAGCTATACATAGATATTTATTATGGTTTTGACACTTGTTAGCTATTAATAGTCTCATAAATGCTATGAAAATATTACCATGTTTTCTTATATATGAAGATAGTGCCTGTAACTCTGTATTGTTGGCTTACTTTTTCATTTGTAACAATGAATTTCATCTTTACACTTCTCCCGGAAATTATTATTTGGAAAATGCGTTGGACCTTTTAGTGAATAGGACCTTTCAAGGTTATGCAGTCACAAAATCAGCTGGTTTGTAATGGGATTGAACCTGGAAACTTTGTCATAGCTTAAAACTCTAGGTGGCTTAGTTTAAAATAACAAACACACTAAAGTTTTTATTTAATATATTTTGTTTTGCAGCAGAATTTGGTGTGAGAATGATTTATAATGGTATTTTCCAGAGGGATTTGCTTGTGAAATAAAAGAATCAAGCAGGAGAGATCTCATGTATTCCCGAGACAACAATATTTGAGGTTTCAGTGTGCAGTTAATTTGTTAGACCTCTCAGTGTACATAGGTAGCCTTAATTGTCAAGTCAGATTTAAAACATTATGCTCTTTTCTGTACAAAATTTGCCTTAATTTTCACTCTTGGATTATTTAGTGAAGCAGTTTTTTAAAATCTAGAGAATGGATTTGGAGCAAGAGCTAACAAACTGGGTTTTAAACATGAGATTTGCTAACTAAGAAATTGATGTTTTTCTTCATGTTTGTTTTTCACTTCAAAATGTTTTGCCTTTTTTCCCCACCCAGTTAATACACTGTTAAATGTGAAACTGAGTGAGACAGAAAATGGCAAGCATGTCTCTATATTGGATCTACCTGGCGACATTCTTATCATCCCTCAAGCCACCCTTGGGGGCAGAGTAAAAGGAAGAAACATGCAGTATCACTCTAACTGTGGAAAAGAAGAAGGGTTAGAACTTTATTCCCAATTTGTGTCTCTATGTGAAAAAGAATTAGCTGCAAACAGTAAGTGTGCTGAAGCTGGGGTCGTAGTGGAGCATGGCACTTACGGGAACAGACAGGTATTAAAGCTAGATACCAATGGACCATACACACACCTAATTGAGTTTTGAAAAATTAATAATTAGCTTCCGAGGCTGTTCTCTGGTATTTAATGACCTCAACTGTCATTAGATTTTCTACTCCTTTATCATGAATACACTCATCTACAGCATTTTAGGCAAGAAAATCCTGGATCCCGTAAATAACTGCAACCTCCTAATCAGATGACCTTGCCTGGTCACCTGACCTCTGGATCTGTTAAACCTTCTGTTGTACCGTCCTTCCGTTCGAAAATTTGAAACATACTGTCTGTTTACTTTGTAGTCATTAGGAAAATCTTCTTAACCATGTTTAAAAGATTCCATGCATTTAAGATATTTTATTATGAAGAAATTTGTACAACCAATGAAAACATTTATACCCTGAAGTTTATGTAGTATGTAATAAAAATAATTATATTAAAATTGGTTAAAATCCAGCACAAATCAATTATAATTTTACCAATTTTGTTTTTCTATATCAATTTTCCTTTTTTTAAAAATGGTGCTAGAGATCAAACTCAGAGCCTCATACATGCTACATCCCCTGCCCAGTTTTTCCTACTTTGAATGAAATGATATGTAGTTTACTATTCATTTTACTGATATCTGTGAAAATGTAATATAGAAATGTTATTGTGCATTACATTACTTTCCAAGGACCTTCAAATGATTTAGATTACTTTTAAGAATCTTTAGTATTATATACAATTATCATGTCAATTAAAAAATCTTCAGTTGATATAAGAAAAAGGTATAGGACATTCAAGGTGGTTTTATGAAAAATACCCACAGAGATAAATTAATGTTCTTTCTGTCAGTTTTTACCAAAACCACATATAGGCTGGAGGTGTAGCTCAAGTGGTAAAGGGCCTGCCTACCAAAACTACATATGTCTTAGCTTCCATCTTTTGTTTTTAAAAATATACATGAAATTAGGGTTAATGTATAAATTTTTAGGAAATTTATATCTAATCCCTGTTGAATTAGAAGGAAAAAAAAGGGATGCTTTCAAGAGAAATGGTTTGTTTTTTTAATTGACTTGTGTGCATTATTTTTAATCAGATATATATGGGCTTGGTGATTTGTCAGTGTTTCTGTTATTGAATATTATTCACTGCATGTTTGTACCCTCCCCTCAAATTCACATATTGAAGCCTAATCCCCAATGTGTTGTATTTAGACATGCGCCTTTGGGAGATAATTAAAGATGAAGTCACGAGGCTGGGGCTCTCCTTTTGGAATTAGTTCTAAAAGGATTTTAAAAAGAAGAAACCCCAGAGAGCTAGTTCTCTCCTCCCACAAGCTGAGGATTTAGTAAGAAGATGACTAGAAACTGACCATGCTGACACCTCAATCTTGAACTTGTAGCCTCTAGAGCTAAGAGAAAATAAATTTGTTGTTTAAACCACACAGTCTATGATATTTTGTTTTGGCACCCTGAGCTGACTAAGATAGACAGCTAACAAGGTAAACTTTTCAAAAGTAAGAGAGGAAAAATATATAAGAAATTGAAAGAATAAATGAGTTATATGTAAAAGGCAATGTTTACTTTTTGCAAACTCTTCTTACTTGATTTTAAAGGATGTTTTGCAAGATGAAAACTAAACAATATTTCTAATTACCAAAAAAAGGTGAATAAGGGCTGGTGGAGTGGGCTCAAGTGGTAAGAGTGCCTTCCTAGCAAGTGTGAGGCCCTGAGTTCAAACCCCACTGATGCCAAAAAAGAAAAAGAAAAGAAAATGTCTTAAGTAGCTGCTGAAATTTTCTTTGTGTCTTATAATGTCTTTAGTTCTGTTTTTGTAACAAACTTTTTTGTTTTTGGTGGTACTGCAGTTTGAACTTGGCTTCATGCTTGCTAAGCAGATACTGTACCACTGAGCCACTCTACCAGCCTTAAGTTTTTATTATCCCACACACACAAAAAAAATCCTATTTTCTCTATACCTTTCCTGTACTATTCTATTTTAGAAGTTGAAAATCAATAACTGCCTTGGTAATGAGCTCATTGTCCTTAACTTTTGCTTTATTGATTCGTGATACACTTTTTATACTGTAATAAACTATTCATAAACTTGCAAACCCCAATTTTCTCAAAGCTTTTCCAAGGAGATGTATGTGTCTTTCAAAAAGATTATATTACCTGTTTTAAATCATTTTGATTTTATGTTTGGATAAAATGCTGACTCACAGCCCTGGATTGCTACTTTATAGTTGAAGCAATTCTCCTTCTTAAAAACCTTGGGATACTTGTGGAAAAAAGCAATTTCAAGTACATGAAGGATTATAAGCAGAAGGTGATAGCAAACTGCTTCATTTGCAGGGAGGCTACAACAGAGGGAAAAGGCAAGAGAAATAGTGAATACGAAAAATAATTTCACCTTGGGTTTCTGTAGCTCTTCTGGCCCAAATGCTCAAAAAAACTTCGGTATATCTTATTTTATCTTATAGCATATTGGTAATAAGGATAGCATTTTCTTTCTTAGAAAGAAAGATAATAATTTTTTCAGGGTCACACAATGGGGAGGAATAATTTCCGTCTCCTGACTTTTCTTATAGTGAAACTTGTTAAGCTTGAAATTGATTTTCATAAAAGCTCAGCATCTCTGTGGATCACTTGAAAAAGAATGGCCAATAGAGCTGGAGGTATGGCCCTGTGGTAGAGTACCTGCCTAGCAACTGCAAAGCCCTGAGCTCAAACCCTAGTACTGCAAAAAAAGAAAGGAAGGGAGGGAAGAAGGAAGGAAGGAAGGGAAGCAAGGAGGAAGGAAGGAAGACAGGGATAGCCAATAGATTGGTTTATTTACTAAATAAGTACAAGTAGGATTGCACCTAATTTTGGTAACTTCTGATCTGCCAATTTACAAACTTCCTGGTCCAATTACAGAAAATACCGTATGTAAGACACAATAGGCTGAGCATGGTGAATTACACCTATAATCATGCCTATAATCCTAGCTACTCGGGACTGAGTCCACTCAGGAAAAAAGTTCAGGAGACCCCCATCTCAATGAATAAAAAAGCTGGGTATGGGTTGTGTGCACCTGTCATTCCAGCTAGACAGAATGCATAAGTAGCAGGATCGTCATCCAGGCCACCCTGGACATACATGTGATACCGTATTCTTAAATTACATAAAGGAAGAAGGGCTGGGGGCATGGTTCAAGTGGTAGAGCACCTGCCTGTCAAGCCCAAGGCCCTGAGTTGAAACCCCAGGACCACACACACACACACACACACACACACGATAATAGTTGTGGTTTTATATTTTAATGTGTGTGTGTGCTCCTGGAGTTTGAACTCAGGGCCTCACACTTGCTAGGCAAGCACTCCACCACACCCAGCCCTAGATGTGGTTTTAATATCTTGAATACATTCAGATAAAGTAAAATGAAACACACTTTTACTATTCCTTTATTCAAGTTATAAAATAAGGCATGCCATTTATGAGTGATATCTGTACTAATGATATCTTGACTCCATAGTGAGGAATTAAACATTTCAGATACATATAGTCTGTGTTACTTGTTTTAGATAATAAGAACTCACAGTGATGTTACAAGAGAACAATGTCATGTCAGTTTTACTGTCAGTTAACATTGCAGAGGACCTGATATGTTATAGCTAAATTTATATAATAAAAAAACACATGATAATGAAACTCCAATGTATGTAGAAATGACTTGCCTGTTAATTTATTCACGTAACAGTAGTTTCTAAAAGGGAAGAGCTGCTAGAAAAGTAGCGTTTTTCATTCTGAAGCTACACCTTGGTGATGACATTGAATGTCTTTATTTTGATTGTCTCCTATTTATTCTCCCTTCCTTCTATTACTCCTATCTCTAATTCTTTTCTGCCCACTGTCACTGCAATGCATTGTTCCCAGAACATGTCTTTCTCTATGAAATTCCACTTCTTAGAAACTTTTATAACTCCTCTTTATCTGCAGGACAAAGTCTGAACATCTAAGATTGGCATTGAGGCTCCCAGTGCAATCCCTTACAACTGTACAGCACCAGACTTAGAACCTTGAGAAATAGCATGTAAAAAAAGGGCAAAGTGTGAGAGGCCAGAGGAGACTCTAGCGATATCAGAGGCAAGGAGAACAAGAAAAGTACATTGTTAAATGAAGATATTTTCAAGATGTAAACAGTGACAAAGTCAAAGCCAGTTATTGAAGAAAAATTGTGTAACACAGGACTGAGGAAAGACCTATGGGCCTAGCAGTTAGGTCTTTTCAGAACTTATGGGACTTGGGTATTTGCCATACTTAACAGTAGGGATTCTTAATCTTTTGCCCTAGGTCAGAGTTTCTCAAACTGTCAGTGTACCACCTGCTCCAGAATCACAGGGGTAGCCTGTTAAGATGCAGTTTCCTGGGATCATCCCAAAAATTTAAGTCACAGTCTCAGGAGTCAAAAATCTGTCAGGTCATCAGTTCTCCCCATCAGGTGATTCTTGTGTACACTGGAGCCCTAGAACCACTGTTACTCAATGAAGCCCCGATGTCTAAGGCTGGTACGGAGGTTTTATAATCTGGCTCCAGCTCAACTTTCTAAGTTTTTCTCCTACTGCTCCCCTATAGAACTTCTATTAATGCCCTAGGCAGATTTTTCTTAGGTCATGCCCTTACCTAAATTTTCCCGTTCCCTAAATCCATCATCATTCAATGTCTAGCTGAAGTAATTCTCTTGACCCCACAGTAGTTTCTCCTGCCTCTGACTTCCATGACATTATGGTGGTACACTCTTTATAATTGTGATGAATCTTTTGAATTGTGTACTTTGGGTTTTTTTGTTTGTTTTTTTTTTTTTTTAGCAGTCCTGGGGTTTGAGCTCAGGGCCTTAAGCTTGCTAGGCATGCACTCTACCACTTGAGTCACATCCCTGACACTGTGTACTTTGATTTTAATTTTTTTATATTTCTGTATCTTAACTATAAGAGAATAAGTAATAATGTGGAGAGACAAAATGATAGTGGGTAGATATGGTATGATCGAAACTTTTTTTGTCTCCCACAGTACAGCCATGGTACTGTGCCTGTCTGTTCTTTGTAATTCTAATTGAATATTACCAGAATTGGTAGGGAGATAAGTGATTTTAGTTCAGTTATAGCAGGAGTTCACACACAGATTTCTTGACTTTAAAGAATAAAGAGAGGTTGAATGTGCAAGAAGCAAGTTTAATATACCTTGTTTTAATATAGTAGATAGCACCAGGAAGGTCAGATACAAACTCTTAAGGATGTAAGGATGCTTGTTCAACACCAAGAGGGCATTGTTGTTTATATTTTTTTACTCTACTATATCAAAATAGTCACTTTACATTTTCCTATGGGTCACTGCATAGTATCTTTCTAATATAGTACAACTGTATTTATGTAGAACTCTCTACCTAAAGTGTTCAAAAAGCAAACAATTGTTAAAATACAGAAGTGAAAATTGTATTTGAGTCTTTCATAAAATAAACATTGTGTGAAACAAAGATGTCTTTTTAAAAACGTTTTATCAGTATGTATTACAGAAAACAATGGGTTTCATTGTAACACTTTCACATGTGCATATAATATACTTTGATATATTCTCCCTCATTCCTAATTCTTGTCCCCTCTTCCCAAGGTCCCCTTCCTCTTCCCAAATAGTCCCTCTTCTAACTTCATGTCCTTAAAAAAAAAAAAGTCTACATTCCACCTATGAGAAAAACCATATTGTATTTTCTTTGAGTCTGGTTTATTTAGCTTGATATGATGATCTACACTTCCATCCATTTTCCTGCAGAACAAAAATGTCATATTTTGTTTACAAGAATGAATTTTTCATGCAACAAGCTTTATTACCCTCCCCATATTTAATCACAAAATAAAGTAGTTCTGTGGGAAGCATCACAAATAGCCAACTTCGAAATAAATATGGCCCTACATTTTACTGTACTTTTCCATGTGAATGATTCATTTTCACTGTTAGCCAGCATTTTTCTCTTAAAAAGCTTAATAAAGGAGATTCCAAGATGGAGGCTAGAGGGAGGAAGCACAAGGCGTGCTTCCTAAAGTACCATCTTGGAGAGACACTGGAGATAAACCTTGCAGGAAAAACCACCAAAAAGAGGCAAAACTCCCAACACCTCCACACCCACAGCCTGTGCATAGCATCCCCACTCCACGTTAAACGGAGAAACCAGGAGGGCTCCCTCGCCACCAGATGCCAGCTCCCAGACTACTTGGGAACTTGCAGACCACCAAGTGAGCTAAGTGGCATGCAGTACTCCCACAGGCAACCCTGGGCCAGATCAGCATAGCCCTTTGGGCAGACCGACACCCACCCAGGGGAAAAAAAGAGAAAACAGCTAACTGAGTAATAAACAAGCAGCTGAAAAAAAAAAAAAAACACCTAGCAAAGAGGACGGGGCACCCTGAGCTCCAGAGAGTGGGGGAGGGGCAATCTCCCAAGGGGAACTGTAAACAAACAAGCTGGCCAGAGAAGGCAGGAGTGGTGGCACCTCCCGCAGTGTGCTTGGAGAGGGGAAGGCTTGTAACAGCAGCTGTGGTGTGGAAGCTCCACGGGAGAGTGGGGAGGGCCACACCCCACACGAACTGTAAATAAATTTTAAAAAAGACGGCAATTACAAGAGGCAGGTAGGGCTGTGCAGTGGAGAAAACAAAAGGGACGTGCGTCCAGGAGAACTCTAAATAAACAAAGCCTGCAGCAGCAGATGGCTGACAGTAGGAGGCAAGTGAGCCGCAGCCTCAGGTAGACATTCACAAAGTGGTCTCCAGACTCCCTTTTTTTCCCCCCTCTTCCTTTGGTGAGACAACAACACAGGATGCTGAAGGACTAACTGAAACAGTATTGCACTTGCACTTGGGATTTTTTTTTTTAATTTTTGTTTTTTGTTTTTTTGTTTTTTCCCCTTTGATGAGAAAACAACAGAACTACTTCTCAGACACTGAGAAATCTTCAGGACTGGAGGCTGAAGGACTAACACCAAAATAATTAAGACTGAAACTTTATTGCATTTGAACTTGGGTTTTTTGTTGTTGTTTTTATTATCATTATTATCCTCTCTCTGTCTTTCTAATGCCTGTTTAGCTTACTGTTAATTAATACACTATCTCTCCCTGTTTATTTCTTTGGCTCTGGTATTTTTTGTTTGGTTTTTCTTTGTTTGCTTGTTTTGTTCTTTTCCCTTTTTCTTTACCTTCTTTGCTTCCACCTCCTCTCACTTGTCCATTGTAGATATCACCATTGTTATTATTACAAGCTAGACAATACTGAATTACACACAATACAGGGACAGTAACAATAGCAAGGGCAATGATGGGCAGATGGAGAAAAGAGGAAAACCATTTTCCCCCCAATAATAAATTGGTACAGGAACCAGAGGGAAATGAAGAAATCAGATACTCAGATCCAGACTCCAACAAAACGATGATAAACTATAACAAAGAACCCACTGAAGCCCACAAAACATCCTGAAAGAAGAAATCCTGCAAGTAATTAATGAGAATTTTTATAGCAATGATACTGGATATGGTCAACCAAAATGTACAGGAAACACTCAAGAAATTCCAAGACAACAAAAATAGAGAATTTGAGAAAGCACAAGAACAAATAAACCATAGAAGCACTGTATAAACACCAAAGTGAAACAAAGAACAAGATAAATAAAGAGATAAAATGAACTCAGGTTAAAAATAGACAATATTAAAGAGGAAGGAACTCAGGATATGGAAAACCTCAGAAAAAAGAACAAAACAGAAATGCAAAACAAAACAGAAGGCCAATCCAGCAGACTAGAACAAGCGGAAGACAGAATCTCAGAACTCGAAGATGAAATGGTAATTAAAGGAAAAACCAAAGAACTATTAGTTCAACAACTCAAGACCTGTGGAAAGAAAATGCAAGAACTTACACCATCAAAAGAAAAAGGAATGCGTAACATATTCAATGAAATAATTACAGAAAATTTCCCAAATCTAGAGAAAACTATGCCCATACAGGTATAGGAAACCTCCAGAACTCAACATTATACAAGCTACATATGACAAAGCTACAGCCATTAATATACTTAACAGTGAAAAACTGAAACCATTCCCTCTAAAATCAGGAACCAGACAAGGATGCCCACTATCTCCACTCCTATTCAACATAGTACTGGAATTCCTAGCCAGAGCAATTAGGCAAGAAAAAGGAATAAAAGGAATACAAATAGGTAAAGAAACTGACAAAA